CCACTTGACCACTTGCCTGCACCACTTGACCACTTGCCTGCACCACTTGACCACTTGCCAACCTTCTAGAATGACTGCAGCTAGCCTTCTAGTCTATAGGTCTATGGATCGAATCCTGGCTACCTATAGACCTACGACAGACCTACCTACCACTGGCGGTTCTACAGGTCGCAGGTTCAACTCTTTGAGTTGACGCAGGTATTGTACACAGGTAAGTTGGGGAACTAGGGATCGAGCCCTGGGATCTACCTCAGCTACCATGAATTGGTGAATACCGTTTCAATTGGGCTAGCTGGCTTGTTTTACGAGCGTCCGCCGCTCATGCCCGTGCTCCCTACTGCGCAAATAGTGCCTTCAGCTGTCGACCTCCTACCCTAGACCTAAAGCATTCACAAGACTGCTGACTCCGAAAACGAGATGACATCAACAAAATTGACTTGCAGCAGCCGTCACCAAGAAAGAACGTGGAAAGTTCCAAAAACATCAACAATTGCAAACAGGGCTTAGGGCAATAAGCACTTCGCTCGGCTCTTCAACAGGTCGCTCCTCGCTGGTCTTTGCAGTCTTCCAGATACATCTTCAGCTTCTCCAACCCTCCAACAGCCCCTTCTTCTTTGGCCGCCTCCACCGGTCAAACCCCGATACTGCAATCAACCGCCGGCCTTATACCTTGCCGACTTCTTCCACCACCGCAGTGCAACGGGCTCCAAATCTGACACCAGTGCAATGAACCTCGCAATTCCAAACCAACTCGAACATGCACGGTGAGAGCGTTCACAGGAAGTTCACACCGCACCAGAGAGATGACACATGAACCAGTGCCAGTTATGTTCCCACTCAAAATATGAGAAGTTTACAATTGGAGAGTTCAAGTAACCAGCGGCAGTTGCGGCAACTCGACACTGCAATCCTGACTCAGGTATGTACTCAACTCTTCCTCTCTTGATGTCTGGCTTCCCTCTCTCTCTCTCCCTGTCTCTTCTCTCTTCTCTCGCTCAAGTCTTCGTCCTCTTGACCTTGCGCCCAAGCTCTCCCTCTCTCTCTCCCTCTAGGATCTGCCCTGAATACAACTGCGGTGTATTTCCCGAACCTCCACGGCTATGGCCGTCTCCTTCCTTCTCCGTAGCTGTGGTAACCAGATGTCTCCTTCCTCGCTGGGCACTTGCTCCTCTCCTGGTGCCCCCTCCCATCCACATCGCACTGTCGCACAAGTAGCCTGCAGTACTTCTGCGATTTGCACATGAATAGTTGATCCTTCCTGCTGATGCTGCCGAGTTCTTATACTTGCTGATCTGCCTTCCAGACATCTCTGTTGGTTATGGGTCGGCCCTCTTGCCTTTGTTCCCTGCTTCTGGAAACTCACGGATTCTTCGTGGGTTTGGCTGCTTGCATGGATCAACTGACACCTAGCCTAACGGCCCTGGTAATCCTGGCTGAAGTTGTGATGCCTCCTAAAGACAGACTTTTCAACCCATAACTGCTATTTCCGAAGGACTTCCTACCACGATCTACTTGACTAGCTCACCTAGGCCTCTGTAATCATGGTACAAACGAAAGCTAGTCTTCTAGAGTATTCGTGCATATTGTAGAAGTGGCTGGAACCGCTAATGGAACACGGAATGGGACTTGGAATTAGAACCTGGGACTTAGGAATGGGACCTGGGACTCGGGACTGGGACCTAGGACTCGGTACTGGGACCTGGGACTTGGGACTCGGGACTCGGGACTGGGACTTGGGATTGTGGCACAGAGGGAAATCCCTTCATGTGTGCACCCTCCCTTCCTCTGGTGCGCCGTGGTGGCCATTGTCAACCAAGGGGTGGTATGTCTGACATGGGAAGAGTGCACTGCCTCTTATGTATTGCCTCCTCTCTTCTGAATGCTGAAGGAAATAAAGATTGTAGGGACCTGGCAAGGTGGTAGAATGTCATCAATTGGTCGTGCCATTATTAGCCCCCACACGATCTGCTTATTGTGTTGCTTGACCAACCACTCGCAGATGTTGTACAATTTATTCGGGAGCGAAAACAGATGTTTTCACTAAGGGTTGTACCTGTTGCTTGCCTGTTGTGTAATGGCTACTCGCCATTTGTGTGGGCACAAACTCGGCCAGAAACGGGTGCACATCTCATCAGGTCTTTTGCTGCGTTTTAGTCGGCAAGGGAAACAGATGTCTTCATCAAGGGTTGAATCTTCTGCTTGCCTGTCTTGTAATTGCTACTCGCCATTTGTGTTTGCAGAAAGTCAGCCGGAAGCTGGTGCACATTTCATCATGGCTTTTGCTGATGTCAATTTGTCCTCTTTTCAGTTGGAAATGGAAACAAATGTATTCACTAAAGGGTTGTAACTTGTAACTGCTGCTTGTCTACCTTGTAATTGCTACTCACCATTCATGTTTGCAGAAACTCAGTCGGAAGCTGGTGCACATTTCATCAGGGCTTTTGCTGATGACAATTTGGCCTCTTTTCAGGTGAACAATCGTCAACCTCATGAGTCCCTCCCAAAACTCCCATTTGAGAAGCCCTGGCTTGGAAGGAATGAAAAGGAACTAAATGCTGCTCCTGATGGAGACTTCTATGCAGTCATGTCACATGTTTGCCTGCCGGTAGCAGACTTGCAATGACATGTATGCATGAATGGCTTGCGGCCAATGCCTATTGTTGGCGTTGTATCTGGCAAAAGGGATGTTTTTGATACTTGAACGCATTCGTGCGGTTTTTTGAGATAGCACAGTGCTAGTACGGAAGGGTAAATAAGATGGAAGAAAAGTTGTCAACTCAGCACAAGGTGTATTAGGCATTGTTTTCATGATGAAATTGGATGAATACACCCTTGTCAATCAAGTGGTCATGAGGATGAACCATCACTCTTCTGCCTATCACCGCTCAAGGGGGGGGGCATGATGCTGACAAGTTGCAATTGTTACGATCCTGGCTATTTCCGAAGTGCAAATTCACAAGGAAAGACAATGCCACCCAATTGCAAAAGAAATGAAAGCACTTGCAAAGAGATAGAGGCCGAAGAAGAAGAAGAAGAAGAAGAAGAAGAAGAAGAAGAAGAAGAAGAAGAAGAAGATGTACATCAGCGAGACCAATGAAAAATACCCCTTCTCTCTCCACTCTCATCCTCCTCCTTATCTCCGCCAATCTTATTCTTTCACCAAATAATGATAATAACTACGAATGGTGGAGCCAGAATCAATATCCGAAGTTCCCTCTTACTGCCAGCACAACGATAGGTCCACCGTAGCCATGGCCTACCTCTTCTTCTACTTCGCGCAGGCCTAGGCTATGGCGGACTACTAACGGCCTTGCCCTGACGTGCAAAAGACAACGCAAAGCAGCTATGGCCGCTGCTTCTCAGGCCGCCATGCCTGACTCTACCTTGAAGTCTTCTGGGTGCAGCGCTACCTCAACTGGGGCCTTCCAGATGCAGCACGTAACAATGTGATGAAGATGGCGTCCATCATAGCCAGGTAAGTACCTCGCCACTCTCCTCCTATGCGCCCTTCATCTCCCTCCTCAAGCTGGGCTGCTCGCCATAGCCAGGCAGAGCGCCCAGCTCTCCTCCTTCCTCCCCAGCAGCGCTCTGAGAACCAGCGCCCGCTCAAGCAGCATGACCCCCAAACTTGCATACTGCAAATGAGGAGGAGCTACTGGCTCCTCCATGAGATATAGCGGTCAACCAGCCTCGGGGCTGGTGACTTCCAGGCCGCGCGGTCTCCAAGCAACCGGTACCTCCTCCCTTTCGGAGGGAAACATCATTGCAGGCTCTGATATCGTCCACACAGGCCCTACACTCAGGCTACTTGGACTGGTACACACCTAGACCTAAGCCTACGGCTCCTGGGCCTCTAAAAATGTTAACTTTTTGTCTTCTTCTGCTCGGCCTGCGGTTCCTGACACATCTACCACTACTTGAGTGGTACCGGCCTACCTGCTACTTGAGCGTTTTTCCCCACTGTCGTAAGTGTCGTGGGCCTACTCCCCACTACTTGAGTGTTTTCCCCGCTGCAACCCTCAAAGTCACCGCCACAGGTAAGTACTGGCCCCGCGGGCCTCACAACACACAAGTGCCCTGTGGGGCCACACACACACTCAGGCAGACGTGCACTCAGGCAGGCACACGGACCACCAAGCATGCACTCACACACAGACTTAGAAAACTCAGCAGCACGCGGGAATCTCAGCAAGGCATGCATTCCAGGGGCAAAACTCAGAATCAGCAGTGTTCTCAGTCTGTGTTTTGGCAGGTCATTACACAATGATATTTTAACTTTTGACTTGAAAATCTTTGGAGTCCTCAGGGTATCAGCTAAATGGGGTGCTGATCCTGTGGACGACTCTCAAGCTGCCAATTGCGAGGCACAAGGCCCCGATGAGCCTCTTCGGCCCTGTTTTGCATTGTTGTCGGCCACCCTAAGTGAAGGCAGGCTCGACTCAGGCCGAGGAGGCCCCTTTGTCAGGCCACCATGCAACTGGGGAAATTCAGACTGTGTTACAAGCGCCCAGGCCCAGGCAGCCATTTTGCAAATGTATCTGAAGTATGCCCTGGTCCAGACGTGCATACGGACCGAACACAGGCTGAGGGCAGTTGGGAATGGGCAACTAGTGCGAGGCCCTGGGCCTGGGCCTGTTCTGTATGGAATGAGGCTCAGCCTCGTGGAGCCTACCGGAAGCTTCTGGGCCGGGTCCCAGTACCGCATTACCGCACGCAGCAGCAGGTCGCTTCGATATTGGGAAGGGCCTGCCCACGCATTGGACATTCGGGCACTGGCTTCATGCTGCGCAAGCACTGCTGCGCTAACACTGGCCAGGGCTCACACGCTCACGGGCGAGCTGGAAGGAGCAGGCAGCCATAGCCGAGCTGCGCTGCTGTATGCTGGATGGGGCGCATGGTGGTTCTTGGGTGCATGTGGCACCTGTGAGTTGGGGATCGAGGTTGTGAGTGATACGAGAGACATACCTGGTGCTTGAGGCGAACGGCATTGGCCGAGATCTGCTCGTACTTCGGGGAGCTGTTGACGTCATCGGCGACATTGTATATTAGGCTAGATAGGATCTGCCATCTGTAGTCTGGGCGCCGAGCGCCAGATAGGATATCGACATTGGTTCTTCGTTGATGATGATGAGACTATTCCAGCATTGTCAATTATGAGCTTTTTCTGTGCTCTTATTTGGTGAACTCATGAAGCAATTCTGCTATTGGTTCGAGGTCACGACTATATGGTCTCATGTGTATGATGCTGTTTGATTTCTGAAGTTCGCTATTGCAGATGTTCCTTGCAATTTGGTATCGGAGCTGTGGTACGGTGCGCTCATCTGGCGCTTGTCTTCTGCCTATGCGGTACATGCATGCGGTCTGCTAAGTGAGCGGCCGCAGGGAGTGTGTAGTGAGGAGGGCAAAGGCAAGATTAGGCGACCAAGGTGGAGAGGGGATCGCCAGGAAGGCTATGTGGTGATTATTGGGTGTTCGCAATGTGATGAGAACTATCCGATGTGTGATTGACGCTGAGATGGAACGGCAGTGTAATGCTGGTTGTGCCGAAGTAGCGATTGGTCATCACAATCAGCATCGGGTCATCTGGTGAGAATATTTGTGGTCGGGGGCAGCTATTTTGAGGTACGTTGCACCTAACCTTATCTACCCTCTTCGACACTTCTCACTATGAGGATGTGTGTTCTGCCTTGAGAGTCCTCTCATGTGAGGAATCGTGTGCGCTCAACCTTGAGAGTCGTCAGTGTTCACGTGGAGCATCTGGAAGGAGAGGGCGGTGCTCTCTGAAGGGCCCTGGACGAAGCACTGGGTCACAATCACCATGCCAACCCACCGGGAGTAGAGCACGCATGCTTTGCTGCTTTGTCCTTTGTCTGCTCGCTGCGCTATACAGGGGTTCTGAGGGGCAGGCCAGCCCTATGGGAAAGACGAGACCGGACGTCTATAAATAAATATCGGCAGGGGACCTTCCATTGGCTGTGATCGTCGTCCTGTCTGCGACGTTAAACAATTCCTGAGGACTTCGGGGGCCGTCCATAAAAACGCCTCCTGATCAGCCAATCGGTCGGTGTAAGGCTCGCTGCACGCGAGGATAAATATGGTGCAGGGCTGGCCAGCTCACCAGGACTCGGGGCACAGGGGTGGGCCGTGTGCACACCTTTAGACACGCACGCTGTTCCGGATTGCTCAGGGACGGTGGGGACAAGAGACATGCATGAAGAACCAAGGGAGGGGTAGATTCCAGGTGATAAGTTTGGGCAAGATTACATTCTGCAAACAGACCCAACAAATGATTCCATTTTTATTTTGATTAGTTAGATGTACAACCATTAACATCTAACAGACATCATAGTTATAGCTGTTCTCTGTTCATTGTGCTTTCTGTTTGCGAACTAGTCAAAGTCACAGTAGTATCGTTTGTAAGAGTCTGAACCTGTTGGACCCAAATGTACAGTCTCTGACTAGCCACCGATTATTTATTTTTATTTATTTAAAATCGGTCTGTACATCATGCTGCGGTAGGCATCGAGAGTGACCTGGTGCAGGTAGTGTATAGTGTTGTAGCCTATGAGTGACAGGGAGGTCCCACAATCGGACGATAGGATCTTGCGATCGGCAAGACGCCCGATAGCCCACGTGGCATTAGGACCGGAGGGCGACAGATACCTGTTCCGCCAGCAGAGGGAGAGACAGCAGCAGCAGCGGAGGGCCAGGGCCACAGAGGCAAGCAGGGCATTCGTGAGTGAGGCCGCTACTTCAGCAACCATGGCATCTACTAGGCAACAGAGCTCTCAAGCTAGTAGTTCAAGTTCTGTAAGGTCAACTGTCGCACAGACCCCGAGTCAGTCCACTGGCGTCATGGCAAGCCAGCCGATAGTGTCGACTCCCGAGGAGGTCGCCATACAGCGAGCAGCTATTCGCGAGGCACAGCTACAGCAGGCATTAGGAGAGATTAAGGCAGGGAAAGAGAAGATGATTAGAAGAAGAGCCAGGATGCAGCGAAGACAAGCGGACGTTAGCGAGTTAGAGGAGATGGATCTGACTCACATGGATGATGATGTAAGGACCCTACAAACCGTCTTGCTAGATATTGTAGAAATGCAGGACTACCAGACGACTCTCTTACAGGACGTCCAACAGAGTCTGGCCGTGTTGGTCGGGCGAGCGCAGACAACTCCATCGCCGTCCGGGCCTGGTGTCTGGCCCGTTGTACAACATCCACCTTTCGTCCCACCGGTGACTGGAGTATCCCCATATGTGTCTCCAGCATCGGTCCAAGCCGTTTCCCTAGGTATGTCGTTAACAGGAGGGTTTTCAGTAGGACCTAGTATACAGATTCCAGTACAGACAGTGTTTTCCCAACCTCCGTCGCAGGTTGCCGTAAGCGGGCAGCCTGTTGTCTCGCAGCCTGCACAGCCGCAAGGTACACAACCCCAACAGCAGCTAGTGCAGCAGCCAACGCCTCAGGGTCCACAACCTGGAATGGTACAGGTACCAGGACAAACTTAGTGGGTTCCCAAGACTGCCATCGCCTCTCCCAAACCTTTTTTCAAGGGACAAGAGGGGCGAAGACCTCAACACATGGTTGAGGTCAATGCCAGTCTACGTCAAGTGTAAACTTACCTTGCCGCACGAGGAAGTGTTTGTGGCTGCCTCCTATTTAGAGGGGAGTGCAGCAAGATGGTTGAGTGGTTTAGTGCAGTTGCAGGGATACGGTCATGACTTTCGCGCTTGGGCAGTCAACCAGAAACTGGATGACTTCCTCAAGATGGTGGAAGACAGGTGGCATGATCCCCAGAAGGCTCAAAAGGCCACTAACGCGATCCTGACTCTGAACCATAGATAGTTCAAGTCAGTCAGAGAGGCCACAAATGCAGTAAAGTGTCTGATATGTGTCCCTGGGGTGCGCTATGACCCCCAAGTTTTACTCACCTCCTACCTGAGATGTTTTCCTACGCCTCTCAGGAACCAGTTGGCAGGAAAGGCCAACATCAACATGCACAACTTTCCCTCGTTCAACAAGAAAGCCCTAGACCTAGAAGCAAAGATAGGGCATGGTCAAACACCAACGACGGATGGTAGGAAAAAGTCATTGCCTCCCAACTGGAAGGCCAAAGGTCGTATTATGTTTGTCGATAACGATGTGCAATCAGACTCGACTTCTTCACACTTGTCATGCATGCAAACAACGAAACAGCAAACTGGCGACATGCGCCCACACAGTACTCAAAGATATCGTAACCAGGTAGGAGTTCCCTTCAAACTGGCTATGGCGACTGAGCGCCCACACAACTCACTGTTCGCACTCTGGATCACCCTGGATGTCCCACACGCAACACTCTACACGCAACACACACACACACACACGCTACTATAGCTATGGCAGCTATGGCTGCCACTACCCTATCGCTACACTACACTTCACT